CTGTCTGACGCGTCTGCCTCCGCGACCCGAAAGGAGAAGCGGCGATGGAAGATGAAGATGAAGATATATAAAAGATATATATGGCCTATATCATTAGATCAAGCGTATAAAAACTGCAGAAGCTAATGGCAAAGTCTTGGAGAGGAATTTATCCAGCAATAGATCAAAAACGGCTGAGGGTAATGAGATCATAATCTACTATTTTAATGTTGAAAAAAAATTACCTCGGCAAACCTGACGAAATATAGGTAGATAGATAGATATTATTACCCATGTACAAGAATAAAATATTCGTAGCATTCTTAACGAAAGCATACATGTATTAAAAATCACAGTACTCTGGAACGAGTAGCGATAAAATAGTTTAAATCTTCATGAGAATAGATTGCCTCGAAAAAAAATTTTCTGATTCAAGAGTTGAATGAACAAACTGGGCCGAAAACCTTTGATAATAAAAATATGAATAAAAGGAAATTCTGTTGGAATGTCGGTTTTCGCTATCATGGGACCCTTTCTGGCACCCTCTTTTCATGAAGTTAATGGCGGGGTGCAGATCTCCATTTCTATATCATCATTCACTTTACTTTAAAGAGTCGACTGCAGCTGGATGGAAGGCATAGTGTGCAACCTCCGATTTCTTTTTGATACAATGATATGCATTTATTAATCTCAAAATGGAGAAAGGCGAGTGACCCCGATCAGAGCTTGAACTCGGGACCCATGGATTTTGAGTCCGATGCTCTACCGAGAGAACAACCCCGGATCACAAGCAGATATCTCGAAGATTATTTATATCTGACTTACCAAAGCATTATATCATCTCCTGCATAAAGAAACCACGTACGTTATTCAATAAATAGTAATGAAAAAAAATTACAGTGGGACTACAATGAGTCACAACTACTTTTGCTAAAGGAAAAAATGTATTAATCTAAATATGCCAGATATACCAAGCGAACTAACGCACCGTTGCTTACTCCATTTCCGTTGCAGATATGTGTAGAAAATATTCATTCACTAATTCTTTCGTTTCGTCACTGATTCAGGCATCCATTCATACAGGTATTTAGACAGTCATTTATTCACTTAATCGATCATTCCTCCATTCATTCACTCATTCAATATCTTTTTTAGAATGCATATTGGATGATGAAAAATTTCTCCCACTGACCCCAAAAAGTCTGAAAGTTGCCCCCTATCCTCCCGTCCAAAGTATCCTTCTCTTAGTTCGATGTGCTTTAACAGGGACCAGTCAATGACCAGTTGTAAATGGCTTTTCAGTCAGCCATTTCGGCCTTCACTGAGAGCAGCGCTGTGCCCCAGCAAGAATTTTTTACATGGGTCGTTACATAACTCATGTGGCGTCCATCTAACATCGGATATTTCAATCAGTAAACACATTTTACGATCACTGTAGTAGATGATAAGCCTGCAAGCGCTTTCCTTCTTGTTGCTAAATAATCGAAAGTGAAAAACGATAATGAAAAACAAACATAAGACAAAAATCGATAAAAAGAAAAATAGCAAATGGAAGAAGGAATAAGTAAAATCATAAATTATAAAATCTACTGAAAAATTGTAGATAAAATTCACAAACCGCATGACGAAATTTAACGGTACCGAACAGTATTCACTTTAAGCATTAAAAAACTGCAAGGATATGACGACAATTCTGCTACAGAAAAAACCAAAAAGCAGTTTAAAGGGTTCTTTAGATACCGCCTACGACCAAATTACCGACTAAACTTCTGACCATTGATCCCACTAGTATCAAGCTGTCTGCAAGAACCCACGTGGAAGAATGTATTCATTTCAACAAATAGAAAGGCTATAATTCACCCTGAAGACGATTAATGCAACACTGCTGCAGAGAGAAGAGTTTGTCATAAGCATCGCATGGCAAAAAAAATATTTTGCAATGATCATTATGCCGGCTGCATAATGAACATTCGTGCGAAAAAATCTTTAATCAGGGACACGAAATTTGATGGAGGCGAGCCCACCAAATGCCAGCTCATGGTGACTTTTCCTTCAACAAAGACAGGCACTTCAACTACAGCCAAAAACAGTACGAAATTTCGAGTTCAACCGGTTTATCCTTACTCAGAGGCTCGATCGTGTACTCGTAGGCACTCGAAAGGTCGAAACCAGCAGCGAACTCCGAACCTTTGAATGGAGCGACGGCATGTTCCGTTAATTTCGCGTATCGCAACACACTTTCTTTCGAAGGCATCGTGCGGACGGCCACAAAACCAGACACGAGCGGGAAATACTCAAGCAGAAAATTACCGTACTCACTTCTGGTACTTGACTTCCTATTGCAGGTTACCTGACAATACGACTATATCATTTGATAATCAACAATTATCTAACTTTACACTCCAAATGCCGATACACAATTTACACGATGAAAGCGTTCCGTGTAACGAAAAAAGTTTTTTCATTAACAAATTGATTGAGCGTACCAAATTAAAATAGCAAAAAAATGCACAGCGTAGAGAAAATTTTTATCTCTTGCTATAACTGGACACTGTCGTGGCGAAAGATGGATAGAAATGGCGCCACATTGGGGTATTGCAGTGCTCCTTTTTTTCTAGTTGATTAAGGGACAGTTTAGGCAGGTCCAGCTTTATGGTATTTAAGCGCCAGCAGTTCATGGGACGTACTGCCGCATCAGGGGCATGTGCAAGCCCAGAAAGAAATGCTTAGATGGTCCCCTTAGATAGCAACTCGAAGCAACGGAGTAGCGCAACCGTCCGGTATAGTCATCATCTCTATTACACTACCGCAGTGTCTGTGTAAAAAAGGAATGCGCTCTTCTCATTTGAACTGTACATTTTCGTCGTTTCTATCCGGTATCATTATTCTTAATGTCAAGGAAAAATTTTTCATTCAAAATATCGATGCCGGATCGAAACGGTGAAAAATAGTAAAAAAATATTTTTTTATTATTTTACATTAATTCTGTGATCGTGTAAGACAGCTGAAAATCTTGCTGGGTATTTCCGAAATATTGCACCTCTATTTTGTTTCGAGTAGTCTGGGGAACCGTTTAACCAGGCCCCAGCTCCATAGTTTTTAAGCGCCTGCAGTACTAAGGACACGCGATTGCGTCCCTTAGTTGGGTTGAATAAGAGCACATTAATTATTATTCATTAATTTTATTTCACACTTTACACCGACACTGCGCTAAAAGTGTAATTTTACTATATACTATTTTACTCCTTTTCCACAAACGGTGGTAACAAATTTAATTCTAATTTCATCCTATCAAAAATAGCGCAATACAAATCGGTTAATATACTTTAGATGATCATTGACGTCCCGTTTGATTGACGAATATTCCAGATTCCGAGGACGACACTGTCCGTGGTAAGTAATGCATCGTCGCATGCAATTTGGGTTGTCATGTCATTCTTCGCACGTTTTCGACTACATTCCATCTCTAAGCTAAGTTCTCACAGTTCCATGCTTCATTTCTATTATTTGTCCCCTGTCTTTCCTTTGACTGTCATCTTGTTATGCATTTTCTAACCGTTTGAATGCTTCCTTAGACAATCTCTCGCCTTCCCTCATCTTACTTGCAATCTTTTACACGTTGCTTGTTCATGTTGGAATCAATTGATGCCTCAAATCATCGATCCGGAAGCGAACATCATTAACTGTTCTAGTTAACAGGTCTGTTTTGACTGCGGAGGTTCCTGGTTCGATTCCGCTCGAAACCGCCGTAGGTCGGTAAGTTTTATGTTTGCCTTTGTTGTATTTCATTTTTTTATACGTTCGAACTTGAAATTTCCTGAGTATTTTGTTGTTATATACGATGTGCTGTAATCTTACTTTTCTTTGCTTCTTTCCGAAAGGCTTTCTTTGAGTTCCCGCTCGTCAGTTATTTCCGTTAGTATTTTGTGCTACGTACGTTCTTGACGTCTCTCTCTTATGTTCTCTCCATGCTCCTTTTTATTGTCGTTTTCAGCAGATGATGCACCGTCAAGCGTTGTTCAGTCGCTCTGTTCTGCACATTTAACGATTGCTTACCTCATCTATTTCCTATGTTCGTCTTGTTTGTATTCTCAGTTGACATCCGTCAGCACCATTTTGCTCATTAATCTGGTAGCTCTTTTGGTAAGTTTCCTTTAGTCAACTTTTTCGTTAGTTGCTTTCCTTCCACACCGGTGAGTTTCTGTACGGCCGCTGACCACCGTATCTTCTGTTTTTCATGAAAAGTCTTTTGTTTTACACTTTGCCGTATGTTGTCTGGTTTTGTTTTCCTAGATGCAATTTTTCTTTTGCTTTTTGTTTTAAATGACTTCTAACTCGTCAAGAGTTTGTCAACTCTGTTTTTAAAGGCAAATTGTTTCTTGCTTTGCGTCTTGCGAAAAGTTCTGCAATAGGTTTATTCGTGTGTTTTCATTGTTCTACGATTGATTTCTGTCGCTTTCAGTTGCAGTCGCTTCTGTTCATTCATGCGATATTTGATTGTTTTGATTTATTTGATTATGATTCATAATTTCTTATCCATCTATCACGTCCTTTATTATCATTTCCCTCTTGTTTGGGTTCTCATTAAAGAGTGGTTCACCATATTTATTCTTTCCAGTCATGTTTTTTTCGATCAGTTTGCATTGTACCATTATTAACGGTTCTACCTTGGCTGAGTGCTGTTTCATTTGCCCTGTTTTTCTTCAATATTTTGTTTTTTCATTGTCTGCATTTCTTTTTCGATTTATCTGATAATTTCTACCTTGCCATCCTAACTGAACTGGTTTTTCTTCAGACTTTTTCACATGTGGCAATTCGAAAATTTCTCAAACCCAATGCTTATTTCGTCAGAAATATGTTTTCTCGTCGTTTCAACGCTCTTTTTAGAAGACCATTTTTATTCTGAACTTTTAACTGCACTGATCAAAAGTAATGTCCTTGCGGTGTTCTGTGTTATATTTTTGGTGTCTGGTATGCGATTTGGTCTTCCAGCGTGATCCGCAGCATCCGAGGCTAGAAAACACGCTTTGATGTATAAAAATATATGTGCGGCGCTGTGCATTATTTGCTGCTTTTAGCTATAATTTTCTCTCTTTTCATATTGTTCTGCACTTCTACAGCTATTCCTAGCTTTCTTATCTCCTCTGGTATAATTCTTATCCGTTTTTTTGAGTTGTTGTACATTTGTTATCCTTTATTTATCGATAGCATTTCGCATGCTGTTTTATATTTGTGGCGCAACGGCTGCCAATTGCTTGCAACTAATTTTATTGGCTACTATCCGATGTCCATTATTCCATATTTATCTGAGCATCAATGACATCAGTACTTCTCTTGGGTACGACGTTGTTATTTGTTGTCCGGATTTTTTACGAATGCATGTACGCAATCGAATTCATCACGTCGATGCCGAAACACATGCTAAAATAAATACAAATAAATAAAGTTTAATAAATCACTGGTTCATTCATCGAATGAGTGAGCGATGTTTAAAAAAATAGGTTTCAGAAGAAGTACATGAAAACTGAACGGTCATAAATTTCGTGTACTTCCTAAAATTCGTACACCTCACGGTAAAAAACGCCTATAGCTGAATCAGCTCTCCCGAGGTTAATCAAATACGTAAAAGAAGAATGATAGAAATGCTCAGTGCTTTGGTTCGTAAAATGTCATACGTGGACCGCAAGATGTTTCCCTGAATAATTGAAACTTGCAGTGACTGCCCATATTTTTAAATGAGGACTAGCAACAGAATGTTCCGTCATCATGGTAACTTTCGTTTACTTACATATACTTTTAATTTCCGGGAAGCACTTCTTCTGGATTATCCCCGCAAGGTCGAGACAGACAGCTGAGAGAAGAGCTGCCAAAATCATGCGGAATTCCGAACAGAGTACTCTTGTTCTGACTCGATTTCCGCTCTTCATAGGACCATTCTATAATGCCGACGATTTCATTTGCCTCGGTTTGAGATATTTCTCCAACTTAAGGCAGTATTTAATTTATTATTTCGTCAAACGATAAAAGAATCTCAAAACGCTATAGGATATCTGAAAACATCGTCTATATTTTGGAAGAAATCAATGCAGGGTATGCAGGAAGGATGTCCACTGTCAAAGTTATCAGAAAGCTATCTGAGTGATTTCGTATAAAATAGAAGAACGATATGTAAGAGATTCGACACTAGGCATATGCGGCAGCGACGCTGCATGGACATAAGAGGATTTGTAACTGGATCGACAGAATGGAAGAGTCAGTTTCA